ATTATTATTATTATTATTATTATTATTATTATTATTATTATTATTATTATTATTATTATTATTATTATTATTATTATTATTATTATTATTATTATTATTATTATTATTATTATTATTATTATTATTATTATTATTATTATTATTATTATTATTATTATTATTATTATTATTATTATTATTATTATTATTATTATTATTATTATTATTATTATTATTATTATTATTATTATTATTATTATTATTATTATTATTATTATTATTATTATTATTATTATTATTATTATTATTATTATTATTATTATTATTATTATTATTATTATTATTATTATTATTATTATTATTATTATTATTATTATTATTATTATTATTATTATTATTATTATTATTATTATTATCATTATTAGTATTATTATCATTATTATTAGTATCATCATTTTTTGTGTAATCTTTATTATCATTATTAGTATTATTGTTATTATTATTATTATTATTGTTATTATTATTGTTAATATTATTATTATCATTATTATTATTATTGTTGTTATTATTATCATTATTATTATTATCATTATTATTATTATTATTATTATCATCATTATGATAATGATAATAATAATAATAATAATAACAATAATAAAATATTATTATTATCATTATTATCATTATCATCATCATTACTATCATTATTATTATCATTATTATTTTCATGATTATTATTATTTTTTATCATTATTATCATAATGATAATAACAATAATGATAACAGTGATAATAGTAACGATTATTATAATTCATGCTACTATTATTACAATCATTAACCATGCTGTTTTTGTTGTTATAATGAAAATGATAATAAAATAATAATGATAATGACAATACTAGTGATAATGATAATGGTAATAAAAGTAATGATAATAATAATAATGATAATAATAATAATAATGATAATAATAACGATAATAATAATAATAATGATAATAATGATAATAACAATAACAATAATAATGGCGACGATATGTTGATGATACAACAGATTTGAAAACAAAGAAAGGGCATACTGAAACAAATAAATTAATAAGTAAAAATGAAATGGCTTTTCCAGTCACAGATAGATAGATAGATAGATGGATACATAAGCTGATAGATATGTAGGAAGACAGGTAAGTTGGTAGGTAGACTGATAGATGAGTAAATATGTAGAAAGATAGTAGACAGAAAGATAGATAGAGGAATAGATATATAAACAGATAGATAAATATATGGATAGCAATTTTGGGGGAGAAATGGAAAACAAGCCTTTGGAGATGTTAAATAATGAAGACTTTATATGTTACAATAGTACATAATCCTCATGAAATATTGTACAAGGAATTATTGTAGGACTGAATTAAAATATATCAGCCGAAGGCATCATTATGATAAACACTGATAGTAAGTGCTTGTTGGTGCTTATCACTGATAATAAGTGATAAGCATTGAATGTAAGTGTTAATCATTGATAACAATTAATAAGCATTCATTGTAAGTGCTAATTATTGATAACAAGTGATAAGTATTGACTGTAAGTGATAAACATAAATTGTAAGTGCTAAGCATTGACAGAAAGTAATAAATGAAAGGTCATATAAAGCGATTAAGAAGTGTCGTTAGTCTTGAAAAAGACAATACATACGTGTCCGGCGGATTGCAAATCAACTGTAAGCAAAAGATATCACAAAGACTATCCGGCGCATAAATTACTGTGGTAAAGTAGGAGGAAAATATGACTGAGAAAGAGATGCAGCCTTTCTTGGAGACTCGAGAGCGAGGGAGAAAGGCTAGGTAGTTCATGTAATCGGAGTGCAAGCTGAGGCTTATAAATCGTTAAATTAAACCCTTGTAACCTTTTGTTAAAGCTTGCTTACAATTCATATGATTCTAGGGATGATGATAAGAATGGCAAGTTAATGATAACAGTATCAATGATATTAATTATTACTACTGCTGGGAATACTCTTGCTTATACTATTGTTACTAATAATAATACTACAACTAATGATAATGATAGCGGTAATGGTTATAATGATTATGATTATAACAGCAATCCTCTTTATCTTCATCATTATCAATATAATGATAAGAATTATGAC